CCTCCACTCCATTTTTCCTCTCCATCCCTCCGCTGTCGAAACACCCCCGCTGAGTTATCGAGAAAACAATTTCACTTCGGACTTCTCCGATGAGACTCACTGTAGCGGTCCAACGATCGGATTACTATGTATCCCAGAGATAAAAGTTTTATATTAAAAAGTAGCCCTTGACCAAGGGCAGTGCGAAGATATAACAGCAAGGTGCAAGTACCTCAGAAATCGGAGAACATAAAAATCCGAAAATCTTTCCACCACTTTTTGAAAACTGAGCGGGAACTCCCCCCCTCCTTCGGTCTCGCCGACCCCGTCTTGACCTTCCCCTGGACCCAAGGGTGTGCCATGCAAATTTTGGCTGCTTTAGCTCTTACAGGGACTGAATGCATAGAGAACAAACATACAAACAAACTTTCTTCTTTATATATATAGATAATTGAAAGTGCATAAAGACAGCATTTTTGGGATTTCTTTCTTCTAATGCACTTCCATCTTCTGTAACTGTGCTGTAAAATTCATAAAAGCGCATCGCTGTCAATTCGTTCACGACACGTTGATCGACTAAGATTGCATTGATCAGATCCTTTGCGAGTGCTGATGATTGGAACTCTTTCGTAGAAACGATCTTGATATATTTTACGAGTCAGGTGGGATGAAATCAAAAACTGACAGTGCGTCATTAGACTCACTCAAAATCTACTTATTTTTTGACAGTAGCAAAACGATTCAAAAGAGATCGAGAGACTCACGTTTTCGTGGTCCTTCGCCCATTCTTCTTCTGCTTTCTCGTCGAAACAATAGGCATAAATTGCTTTCAACTATGTAAAGTCGTGAATAAAAGGAATAATATTATATCCATATAAGCTGGATATAATGAGAACAACTTTCTGATTTTCAATATCAGTCAGATAGTCGACACATTCGTCTGGATCATCAAAGACCGTGAGTTGAGGAATTACTGCTCTAATTTTCTTGACTATCAGTGTTTTCTTGGCTTGCATTGACATTCTTATCGAGCCAAATGAGTGTGTATGAAATAGATTCACTTGTGACATTTCGGAAGCGCCGAACTGTTCCGTCTGTAGAAGCTGTGGCTGTGGTTAGATGTTGGAATCTCGTTGGTGTGGGGCCGCTGTTATTATTATTTAACAGCCATTTATTCTCTTCAGAGTGTGAAGGCTGACGCAGGTGTGAAGAAGAAATATAATGTGAAGAAAGTGTGTTTCTTCGTTTTTTTTATTTTCTTTTTTCTTTCATGGTTGCATCAGACCACACAACTGCTTTTTCTTTTTTTTGGTACTGTACACCGTAAATGTAATTTTTTATCCTTCGTTAATGGGATTCTTTTTCAATTCAGAAATTTTCTGAATTGAATTTATGCATCTTTAAGATGCATAAACAAATTTCCTTTTTCTTCATATACGATCTTTTGTTTGGGAGAGCATATAGCTTTTGTGATTTCAGGACTGAAACTGAATACTCTATACTATGACTGATGTCAATCTATGTTAGCGATAAAATATTTTATACACACCAGTGGTACAATACCAAGTATAAGTGCTTTTATCTGCCACAGAGGGCAATTTCGACTACGCACGTGGAGATATGCCATAAAAGTGATACGAAAGCCTCTAAACACTATTTTTATAGGTTTTCGTATCCGCTCTTTCCAATGGTGTAATCTACAAGTTTAAAGATGTTTTTATCAGGGTTTTCCAAAGGTCCGATCTCTGGAAAACAAGAGTAAAAATGCTTTTGAACCTTGTAAATCACCCCATTGGAAAGAGCGGATACGAAAACCTATAAAAATAGTGTTTAGAGGCTTTTATCACTTTTATGGCACACGTCTACGTGCCTGGCCACAATTGCTACGGGTGCTTGATTGCTTGATTTACTTTCAATTCTCTGTCGAATGATATATAATTCATTAAAATATAATATATATAATGCCATAATCGCTTTAAAATCGAACAAATATAATTAGCATACTGTTGGTAGAAAAATCAAATTTCTAACCGCTCCCAGGAGTCCCTAGATGAGTTTCTAGAAAAAGTAAGAGATACGTATTGTTACTTTGAACATGTTCTTTCATTTTATCGAAAAAAAATTGAAAAATTAAAGTGGACCAATTTCCATAAAAAAATATTCACCGTCCTTTGAGCAGGGACAATTGGAAATACACTTTGCCCCTACTCAAATTTATTTTAAATGGATAATTATTTAATGCGATTCTTTTGCGATGTATTTAAGGGTACGAAAAACCCACCTGAAAAACACGTCGAAGTCCGTAGCATAGCAACGGCATCCCTTGGCCGTACGTCTATGAGCAAGAAAGAGAGTTCTATATATAAATAAAGGATAATTTTAATAGGGTCAAGACTTAGATTCAGCAAAGTTTAAGTATAACACATGAACAAGTCTCTATTGAAGTTGCTTACATATTTCTTGCTAAAACGTCTATATATTTGTAAGAAGTCATAAAAGAAGCAATTACTTTTTTCCTCCTCTGTTTGTTAATCGCAATGTAAAATAGGCGTATGGATGATAAGACAAGGTAAGAAATTATTATGTGTATATTATATATCATGCTTTAGAGAATACATAAAGAGCAGAAAGAGTTTTGAAGGACTCTAGTAGTGTATTATAAATGTAAGAATTCTCTAAAAAATTTCGCTTGTTTTTTAATAATCAATTTCTTCAGTTTTCAACTGTTTAGTTGGAATTTTATACTGTGTTTATGTATAGCACGATATGGCAAATAAATATGATATGGAAATGGAAAGGAGAGTGTCTTTAGATTATCAGGTAATTGCTAAGATTGTTTCTGTACATACAGCTGAAATTGTATAATTATGTACCCTAGTTAAAAAAAAATCATGTTTAGTCTAGTGTCCTCTCAGTTCGTCCCAAATTGACCTCTCAATTCGTCCCACGAAGCTTTTTTCTCAGTTCGTCCCATCAACACTCCTCTCTCAGTTCGTCCCATTTCTTATTTTTTTTTATTTTGATGCCTGTTCTTGTTATTACTTTTATGAGACTAATATTGACTTATATATTTTTATTTTATTTTATGAATGTTCATAATAATAGTATTTTGTTTATGCTTGTAATTAGTTCTTCAATGGTATATATTTATATCATATATTTGCATATATTTATATATATATTTTTTTCTGTTCTATCAGATATCTATGTTCGCGCCTAAAAATAAATAAAGTGTTGTACCATCGTTTAGTCGACGGCGATGGTATTGTAGACAATACAAGGTCCGTGTACGTAGCAAAATACCATCGAACAGTTTAGACGACGGCGATGGGTATCGTACACAAGACTAGGTGCGCGTACCGGGCAAAATGTGTCGTGTTAGCCACTTCTATCACACATTTAAATCTAAATAAGTTAAATTGTTTTGTTCATCAAAATGTTAATTTTTCACGTCTACTGAAAAAGACAAACCAGTTTTGAATCATAATGGGTATCAATACACTAAAAAACGAGCAAACAAGACAAATAATCAATTGCGGTGTCGGAATCGAACATGTTCAAGTACAATATCATTATGTACAGACGATGTGAGAATTTTACGGAATGAATCAGCGCATACATGCCAATCAGATACCACCAAAGTCGTACCTCGAAAAGCATCTTTATGTTCTTGTTTTCGCTTTTCTCGTTGTTTGTCCAATATAACTGCTTGCACAAACACAACAGTCATATATATCACCGTGCGCAAGAGGTACGAACAATTATATTCAAGCTAATTAAGTGCAAACTGATATGGGACGAACTGAGAGTAAACCGTTTAGTCTTCATACATCGTTATCAAAACTCATTATTAGTATTCTATTCAATTTGTATGCATATTGCTATTTAGCGTCAGAATACATTCGTGAATGTGCCGGTATTGGGTCACGTCATTGGTGAAGCTAATGAAGTTCAACAGGTATGTCTTTTGGAAGCAGATAATTAACTTGCATAATAAAGAATTTGAAATTTTAGTGGGTTAAAGAATTCAACGATAAACATCGGGAAAGGTAAATAAATTAAATTGTTTACTAGGGACACAATACTTCGAATCTTTATAATATACGGAACGAAATCTGTAGTTTCAACGTCATACCCATGTCCTCGAAATCGCTTCGGTTTGGATGATTAATCGCGATTTTGCAAAATATTAACGATTAATCGCGATTTCGACAAAAAATCGCCGATTAATGGCGATTAATTGATAATTTTTCCAGAAACCACGATTTATCACCATTATCAAAAATATCGCTAGTTAATCGCAATTAATCGGCGATTTTGTTATATTGACGCTAAATTACGGCT